CCACAGTTCGAATATTGTACTTTGCCATCATTGTAAGAGAGCTAGTTTGGACGATTCATTTGATGCTGCGCACGGCAACCAAAGAAGAATTTGCTGCCACTGAAGTGGAGGATCCCTGATGTAAAGTTTTAGTGTGAGCTTTCCCCAAACTTCTGCCGAGAAAGAGCACTCGAAAAACAAGTGATCTCGTGTCTCATAATCTGAGCCGCATAGGAGACACATACCCTCTGTATCATAACCCCACTTCAATGTTCGATCGAGAGTTGGGTTTCTATTGAGAATAGACAGCCACGTAGCTGTTTGATGCTGAGGAATTGCAGCTTTATGCCAAACTAAAGGCGCCCAAGGCTGCTCTGGCTTTTTACATCTTATTGCCTTCCACACTGCCTTAGAGGAGAAGGACTTTTTACTTATTTCGTCAATGGACCATACCGCCTGATCAGTAGTGAGAGAGCAATGAAGCCCTGACTTGTAGGAATGAAGCAGAACTTGCCGATCTGATCTAGCCGAAGGAATAGTCCACCCCTCCCCCGACCAAATATCCGAGACCGTTGCAAAGAGCGGAATTCCCAAGCGTGTATGGCCTTAAGAACCCAAGTATGAGTACAAAGAGCCAAAATGAGTCCACATATCCCACCAGAAAAACGTGGAGTCGCCATTACCAATCTTGATGCTGAGAAAAGTAAAAAAATTTTATCGTATCTTGAGTACATTTCTAAACGTCCATGAAAAGGCATTGTTTTTCTCGTTTAATGCCCAAAATGGAGAAGTGTGGAGGTACTTGTACTTGATCCAAGCAACCCATATTGAACCAGCTCTAAAAAACAGCATCCAAATTAGTTTTAATGCGCAAGCATCATTCCAAGTGTCAATATGCCTCAAAACCAATCCTCCTTCAGTGGTTAAGAAAGATATTCCCAAGCGACCTTAGCCCCTGTCGAGATACCAGCTTTACCATGCCACAGAAAGAAGGCTACAAACTCAATTGAAAAAGTAGCAAAGAAAAAATTTAGAATTTAAATGATCGAGTGATATTTAAGAACTAGGTGATCGGGCTATAAAATATTTTATATGTTAAATATATGATTAATATAATATATTAAAAATTCTTTATTTGTATATGATTAAGTATGTATTAATAATAACATTATATAAGTATTTAATAATAAAAAATAACAATAAATTAAATGAAAAATGTTATAGATTTTAATAGAAATTGAAGTTAAAAACCTATTTATTTTTAAAATACTTCATTATATAAAAAAGTGTAAATATGATAACTAAATAAATTAAAATCATTAAAATATATAATAATTTATTTAATTTTTATGGTTGGCCCGCAAACATGTGCAAATATAGTTTTTTATAATCATATTTAGTTGTAATATTTAAGTATTGATTAATTTCTTATACATTATGTAAGCATTATGTTTTTATACATATACAATTTTAGTGTTTAACAACAGTCACACAAACATTTCATATTATTTTGTGTCTTAAGAAAATTTATTATGTAAGCGTTACATTTTTATACATATACACTTTTAGTGTTTAACAACAATCACATAAACGTTTCATATTTTTTTGTGTCTTTTGAAAACTTTTTGTTTTTTTCTAGCCTTTAGAGTAACATATAATTACAAATATAAAAGTTATATTAAATAATAATTAAATTCTTATAATATGTTTTCAATATTATCTATATTATATTTCTTTTTCTCCTTGCACAGTATAATCTTGTCAATATATATATATATATATATTTTAAGTATATATTTTTCTTTGACCTATTGCTAAGTAAATAAAAATGGGTTTTACCATCACTACTTATCCTAAGAGTGGGTAGATGGTTGGTCTGCACATTCGTGGGTACCAACAACCTCACCGCTCTTAGGACATATAGAGATTTTTTAATAAATACAAAATGACTAATAACTAAAATTAAAATTGGACTGTAATCGAGGTTAAGAAAATGTATGCACGACAAGTTTGCATACAACTTTGATTTTTGCACAATTAATATTTATATCTACATGCATATTTATGAAAAAATTGAAGTATAACTTTTATGTGTTAAAAGAAAATAACAAAACATATGTTTTGCAATATTTATTTTTATAATGTATGATTGATTTTTTTAAATCAAAAATAAGTATATTTATGCATGTAGGTATGAGTCATAAATAAGTAAATAGTAATATTTAGGAGTTGATTAGTTTTTCTGATATTTTCTGTAAAAGTTATGATTTTACACGATACCGTTTCCGGCGTTTAACAACAATCACGAAAACCGTTTCTATTGTTTGTATTTAATCAAAATTTCTTATTTTTCAACGTTTTGTGATATATGGTTTCTGAATAAAAATTATAATAAAAATTTATTATAAAATTTGTTAATTCTTATTTTATAAAATTCTTCGGTATCTCTCCGCTCATCTCTTCGTCAAATTTTTTACAGCCCGCAATCGCTCGCTTCCACAAACTCCTTGTAACCGCAGTGTTTAAACCAGCCGGATCTTAAACTTATATGTGTATAATTAAAGGTATAAAATAATATATTTAATATTTAATTATTATATTAAAAAATAAGAGTTCTTTTGTTTCTAACTTTGATATATGTGTTATTCTTATATATAATGAACCATAATATATACAAAACTTGATTCATGAAATAATGTTTTAAGATGTTGAAAAAATATATGCATGAAAGAATTAATATGTGTAAGATAATATTTTTAAATATTTCAAAATAAAAAAAATAAAATCGATGAAACCTATTCTTTTTTTTGTCTTCTTTGACTCATATTTTGTTTCTTAACCTTGAATAATATATTAAACAATAAGATCATCTCCAATGCATTTTTTTTTATTTTTTCCTCTAAAATATAGGTGGATTTCTCTCCAACTTATTTCTATTTTAAAGGAAAAAGAAAGATTGTTACTTTTTCCTCCAATTATAGAAGAAAAAATAACATCACTATTTTTTCTCTATATTAGAAGATTTAAAATAAAGGTGGGTTAGAGATGCTTTAAACCAAAGACATAACCTGAGATTTTTACAGAAAATCAAAGTCGTAAAGATTCATTTTTACCTTTACCTTTACTTCTACTTCTTATTCATATGTTTATTTATATCAAATAAAATTTATAATAAACATTTGTTATAAAATTTATGAAATTATATTTTATAAAATTCTACTCCACCCATCTCTTTGTCCAATATTGAGGAATTGGTTTAATGAAAAAAAGAATTTTTTTATGGTTGGTCTGCACGCATATGTTCCTTACAAAATTTGAGCCACACATGTGTTTATTATAAATTTTCTTTCTTTAGATTTTTAAATGACTCTGTACAATCAAAATTTGAGAGTGTTACGAAAAAACAAAACAGTAGAGATTTATTTTTATTTTTACTTCTCCTTTTTAGTCATATTTGTTTTTTCTTATCTATATTTTATTATTTCATCCGGTTATATTATGTTTTATTTCTGATCTCTAATTCTCGATCTACAATGAGATTGTATATGAGTATGATATAAACTTTTTATTTACTTAAAAAAATGATAAGAGATAAAATGAGATGGTAAAGTAAGCTACGCAAATTCCAAAAAAATAATAATATAAAAATATTAAAAAATTATATACAAATAATAATATATCACACTCCTAACATTATTAATAAATAGTGTATATACTATCTTGTTGGGTAGTCTATTATTATTTTTCTATATAAAATATAAAATATATATTAGATGTAAAATTTTCGTAATCATATTTTATGAAATCTATTATGAATATATGTAAAATTAAATTGAAATCATAGTAATTATTATTTTTGTAAATTTAAATTTATTATTTTTAGTGTTATAATCTAGTTTATTAATGTTATAATTTTATAATTTATTTAATTATAATTCAACTAATCAAAAAATTTTATTTATTTTAGAAAATTTGTCATGTCACAGTTCCATGTCACAATTCCATGTCACCATTAATTTACACAAACTTTTGCTAAGGTGATGACACATCAGATTTTTTCATTAAACATGCTTGTCATTTATATTTTATTTTTTCATCCGGTTATATTATGTTTTATTTCTGATCTCTAATTCTCGATCTACAATGAGACTGTATATGAGTATGATATAAACTTTTTATTTACTTAAAAAAATGATAAGAGATAATATGAGATGGTAAAGTAAGTTACGCAGATTCCAAAAAATAATAATATAAAAATATTAAAAAATTATATACAAATAATAATATATCATATTTCTAACATTATTAATAAATAATGTATATACTATCTTATTGGGTAGTCTATTATTATTTTTCTTTATAAAATATAAAATATATATTAGATGTAAAATTTTTGTAATCATATTTTATGAAATCTATTATGAATATATGTAAAATCAAATTGAAATCATAGTAATTATTATTTTTGTAAATTTAAATTTATTATTTTAGTGTTATAATCTAGTTTATTAATGTTATAATTTTATAATTTATTTAATTATAATTCAACAAATCAAAACATTTCATTTATTTTAGGAAATTTGTCATATCACATTTCCATGTCATCATTAATTTACACTAACTTTTGCTAAGGTGATGACACATCAGATTTTTTTATTAAACATGTTTGTCAAATAATAGTTAAGATAGACTGTATTACATAGTACCTGATCTCCAGACTAGAAAATATACAGACTTTAGTTCAGAATGTTTTAAATATTTTCTTATAAGATTAAAATTAATTGAAATCATAAAATGTATGTTATCTTAAATGTCTAAATTTGTATGATAATTAGCAAAAAGAATTAGATGGATCAGATGGATCAATTAGCAAAGGCAGAGGTTTCTTCAAAAGGAAAACAATGGTTTCATCGACATTTCTAGTATATGTTGCAATATCATATCACCAACATGTTTTAAATTAGAAAAAACAGAGTTGTAGATGTGATTTCTAAATAAAACTGAATCATGTAAATTTTTTCTTTATTTATATTGAATATTAGATCGATACATATCAATGATTAATATTGTCTTTATTTAAACATTACATTGATATTAAATAAAACTAGTTTAACTGTATTGCCTTTTAGCTCTTTTTATTGCATATGTCCGAACATGAGTTCGCACACACCGCAGTCTTCTCCGCATCTACCTCCATATCTGTTACACACAATAACAAAAACAGTAAATATATATATATATATTTTAAATTGTGTACATCATGGTATAGAGATCAAAACATAGTAAAACCAGCTGGCTATAAGCTATAATAAGAATATAACAAAGATTAAAATTTGAAATAAACTTACTTTGATTATCAACAAAAACACATCGATGAGTAACACAACCGATTTCACAGAAATGGTTAATTTGATCAACTGTGTTTCGCTTTATCTCAAAACCAGGTTTTATACATTCCTGAATACATTTGTTGTCACATTTTGTTTTGCTTATGAATGGATTAAGAATACACACTGAATAACATCCAGAGTAACAGAATGGAAAAGCTATATCTATAGCCTCTGTTTCAATTATAAGATTTCCAATCGCCAACATCATCGCCATAAATACAGCAATTTTTTTACTCTCCATTTTTTTATAACAGAAGTTGATGGAAAGTGTGTGTTGAAAGTGAATGTTTGAGTAAAATATAGCTTATTTTTATAGCAACTGTGATATATATTTTTATATTAGTTAGTATTTTCATAATTATTAGCAAATTCTGCCCTAATTTTGTTGAGCTATATATCACAGATCGGGTACACTATCTTACTTCAATAATTTGCAATCTCAAGTATTTTATTATTATAAAATTTTATGAATTAGGTCTTGATTACTTTTTTTTTACTGCTATATTTATATGAAAATTTGGGAAAATACCTCAAAACCAGTTTCCAATTTTATAACTATGCTGTTATTAATTTTTTTGTAAGAAAATTAGAATTAGTTATATATAATAAGGCAAAATTAACCTTATTTTGAGTTTATAATAATTTTAAAATTGTTTAATAAAAATAGAAATTTTTTTTTTAAAAGGAATGCAATCTGTTTTAATTTTATTTTATTTGTAAACGATAAAATCTTAATTTTACACTTACATAAAAAATATTTTATTAAAATATATTATATCAGGAAAAAAAAAGAAAAAATATTAGAATATTGTATTTTATATTTTTTTTAAGTTTCAACCATTTTTTTCTTTCTCCTTCATCGCTATCTTTTTACTTTCACAACCATTGCAGTAATTCTAGAAAAATGGCTGAATGATGTTTTTTAGGACCTGAGTGGTTTAAACGCAGCCATTGTAGTTGCAGATGCGGGTGTCTACAGAAACGGGCGGTTGTAGTCAACAACGTTAACCAGCCGTTTCTACGACTGGTATAGTAATTAAGAGTGGATGTATTTGCAGTACATTTTTGACTGGTTGGCCAGCAGATGCAAAAGCGATTACACAACAAAATAACAATATAAATATATTATATAATTAAAAACAATAAAATATATTATTATTAAAAAATTATAAATTCAATATAATAAATACTAAAAAGCATAAGAGTATTATATGCATAATACTTACTTTTATTTCTTATTTTTTAGTTTAAATAAAATTATGATTTTTTTGAATATTAAAATAGTTTTAGTTATTGGATATATTCATAATTATTAGTGGTAAAAAGAAAATTTATCTAAATTCTGTTTGTTTACAGATTTTATAAATATAGAATTATTATTAATAGTTAATGAATGTCAATTTAAAACTATAAAAATACTTAATTAATATTACTTCAAAAAGTATCAAATTCATTTATATATTTTATAATTATAATATTGAAAACTTATTTTATAAAAAAATGTTATATATTTTGATTTTAAATAATTTTTTTATTTTTTGTTAATTTTGTATTTTTAATTGTCCAATGGCCCGCAAACGCTAGTTGGAAATAACTTTTGATTTTGAGAGAAAAAGTTGTACAAAACGGTTGAAAACGTTTAAAAGCGTTTTCCGTGATTGTTGTCAAACGCTTGCAACCGCTACCACCCACGAACGATGCGTTTTGGGAAGGTAGCGGTTGAACCAATCATGCCTTTAATATTTGATGTCACATTCTCAAGGTCATTGGCATTTTGATTAATGGCTAATATTCGCTTAACTACAGCAAAATATCAAATACAATGACATATAAATACATAAATATGAATGCTTAAAATTTAGGAGAACCGATTGATTCAAATATTTCATCACATAATCCAATGTTAAAAGACAACGAAGCTACCGAAACACCGTCATTGGTCGGAATATTTTTCATTACCGGAGCAACCACATCTTCTAGAAGCCCTTGTCGCCGCCGGCACTGATCAGGTGAGAAAAACAATTCATCTTCCAGGTTTGCATAAGTTGGATGATGATTTTGGTAGGTGGGTTCGACTAGTTCGGCTGGTCTGTTTTCTTCTTGGGTTTGGGATATTTGGTTGATTTCAAAATGAGCTTTATATTGAGCATCCTGTTTAAGTATTTTGGGTTTTTTATTGGTCCTATGCGTGCTATTGGGTAGGAACAAAGGGTACGTGAAGTGGAAGTGGAAACCCTCGTACGTGATGATATATGTGTTAGGCTCATCAATTGATTTCTCCACTTGCTTCTTTGCATTGCAAATTGGGTTTGTGCACTTGTAATAACTCCTACACATTAATCAAAAGTAGAAGTGACATTAGGCTTGTGACCAAAACTTAAGTATATACACATTCGACATACATGCCACTTTATTATATCGGTTTGGCCGAACCAGAGAAGATCAATATATATACGAATTCTGAAAAAGTATGTATATATTTTATGTACCTTGGGTTAGGGCTATTTTTGATGGATTTTTGACCATACTTTCTCCATTTGTATCCATCATCACTCATTCCATTACAACTGTTCTTCACCTTGAATGTGTACCTCTCCACCTTGCTTAAATTACTCCTTTCCAATATTGGTAACCTTTAGAACAGATAGTATGAATAAACAAGAGACTCATGAGTAAATTTTATTGAAGGATGATATTTTAAAGAAAAGATAAAGTAATAAGAGTTATTGAGAAAAAGTTCTCTGTATATTTACGTTGACCCGGAGATTTGTCGGACTGGATGGGTTAGTGGTTTAGCCACGACCAAAGCGTTTGCGATATCTTGGATTCTTGGGCCGGAGTAAAACGTTGATGAGACTGATTTGGTGATGATAGAATCTTCATTTGGCATGAGTCTAAGATGTTGTTCTTGAGGCAAAAAGAAGAGAGGTGGCTCATTGGCAAAAAGCTCGTCAATGGCGTCGCTTCCATACCTTCTCGTCCACTCAGAAAGTTCTTCTTCTGCCATATGAGTATCAGAGTATGGGAACAAGGTAACAGATTGGAGCAGGCAAGGTGGAGAGAGAGAGAGAGAGAGAGAGAGAGAGAGAGAGAGAGAGAGAGAGAGAGAGAGAGAGAGAGAGAGAGAGAGAGAGATTTAAGATAAAAAAGTGTGCTGAATTTATATTCAAACTTTTTTCGACGGATGTATAGTAATTATACACAAATAATAATCGTCTCGATATACTACTATTATTTAAGAATTTGTTTTATACATTGTTGAGTTGAAAAGTAATCAATTTTATTGTTTTTTCTCTTACAATTAATAACTAAGATTTGGATCCATGCGGTGTGTGGGTCTAAATATATCTAAGAACAAAAACAGGGTCTAAAATATATCTAATAACAAAAACATAAAATAAACTAAGGGCTACTAACTCGATTGAAAAAAGTAGCAAAAACAAAATTTAGGATTTAAATGATCGAGTGATATTTAAGAATAAACTATATTACATAGTACTTGATCACCAGACTAAGAAATGTACAGATTTCTATTCAAAATCTCTTAAAATATTTTCTTATAAATTTAAGAGTAATTAATTAAAATCATAAAATGTAAGTTATCTTATTGATATATATATATATTAGATTAGGATCCGTATATATGCGGGTTTATAATAACAAAAATTTAATTTTATAAATTTTTTGTTCATGAAAAAAAAAATAAAAAAAAATTGGATCACTGGTTAAAAAAAATTATATTGAAAACACAAAATTGAAATCTTAGAATTATTTATTTTAAGTCTCATTTGTTTTTAATTAAAATATTTAAAAACAGATTCTGTTGCGGGTCCTAAGCAACATTACCCCTATTTCTTTTATAGTTCGACACTTAATCAACTATTTTTTTTCAGTTTCATAGCATTAAAAACTTGGATATACAATTAGAGTCCTTCAAATATGTTTACTCTCTCCAAGCAAACAAAATTTCTCTTTCTTTTCACATTTATCTCCCATATATGATCTTTATGGTTTCTAGAGAAGTTATGCTTCTCAAGACTCACGTCAAAAACTTTTTCTACATAATTTTCGTTGATACTCCTCCTTATTGAGCTTATCATTATCCCAATGCCACATCATTAGTATCTAGAATTTTTTTTTTTTAATCATACGTTGCAAATTTTGTATTTTTTGGAAATGATATAATTATTGAATACCGAAACACTTTATATGAATACAATATTCTGTAAACGAAACATAAAGAATAAAAATTTGAAATATCGAATGAATCGTAATGAATAAAATTTGGAATCATATTAGTATTTTCCTTTTTCTTTTAAAATTAGTGTTTTAGCTTTTTTCCAAATTAAAACATTTCCTTTTCTTAAATATTGTTTATCTTCTTTTTTTTTAAAAGTATTTCTTTTTTTTATTTTAAGATTAGTGTTTTAGGTTCTTTTTTTAAAACTAAAATATATCTTTATATTTATCTTTGTTTTTTTATTAAATTTTAATCAAGACACATTTAAAAATCTGAATCAGAAGACTCACCATATATCGCAATTATATGAATTACTAATTTTAACATATCCAACTTTATATAATAAAATACATATATATGTATATGTATTAAATGTCTAAATTTGGATGATAACGAAACGCTAACAAATAAATAGAATTAATCTTATGACATTTCTCAAAAAAAGATAAGGCAATAATGCATATTTTGACATGTTTGAAGTACAGACAACCTATAACATTACCATTAAATGTCATCTTATCATAAGTTTTTATTTATTTGCATGTCCACATATTTCATGAATCAACCGTAGTGGCTAACTTTCCAAGCTTATATATTAGGCCCCATAACATTAATAAATCGAGTTTTTTGTTTGTTGCTATGTGGCTTTGACTTTGTGACGTAAAGACAAAAACATAATGTGACTAGGTAGTGGACAGAAAAAGGTTTTGGGTTGACTTAGTGGTTTAGGTTTTGTCGTCTCTGTTATTGAGGAACTGGTTAAATTTGGATTTTTGCTTCTCAAATCATTTAACAAAGTCAACCGTGTAGATTTTCCATTTACACTGATGTTAACGTATATGTAGACAGAAGCCGTCCATAATGTAAATTAAAAAAAAAAATCTCTACGATTTATTTATGAGATTTTTTTTAAAGCCTGTGTTATATTTGTTTTAAATTGTGATGTGGGAGCCATTTGTAATAGAAGCTTAAAATAAGAGAAATACATCTTTTAAAAATTTCATCAAAAGTTTATGTGACATTTTTTGAAGTTAAATTCTAAATAAAGTCTATAATGAATTTTGTAACAAATTAAATTAGGATTATATTAGAATACTGAGTATTAAAAGTCCACCGCGTTGCATGAATACACTTCGTTGAACATATATTTTGTTCGAGAGTCCATGTAGTCGTATAGATCATGTTCTAATTTGGAATCTCAATACCTAAGATGAAATTTAATTTCTGGTTTATATGGAAAGTGATTATTTCTGGAAACACTCTAAAGCATTATTGAATTAGAATATCACTAAATTGATTAAGTAATAAACAGTTTGGAGATTTCGAGAATCAGATATTTATTATAGTTCATGATTTACAGAGGTTACATTACAACAAGGATATAAATAGAATGCTTTTACCAAGGTAAAAGTAAAAAGTAAATATTCCTAAAAGATTCGAACAGAAAGTTTAGGAAAAACTATGTATTCCCTTGCTGCATTTTTTTAGGATTTTTGGATTGTTTTTTTAGCTATGATCCATTCTCTATTTATATGGAGATGAGGTTGGTTCCACGAGCTTATTTGCTTTTCTCAAATAGGAAAATTTTATCGTCAAGATGAGTTAAAATGCAGCGTTTCACTAAAGTTTGTTAATGGGCCGGCTTAATTAATTACTTTTTCTTTGCATGCCCAAATTCATTTAAGGCTTCCGCAGGTGGGAAACTAGAAATGTTTCTGTTTTCCACAGAATCGAGAGCATTTGCATGTGTTTTAGACTACCAACATTGGTTTTTTATTCAACACCAATTTTTTTTTTTAACATTTCACATCATCTTCTCTCTCTTCCACATACTTATTCAACACCTTCATATTTTTTACACTCTATAATAGTTTGTTTAATAGAATTCAACACCCTACCCTACAATTCCATATCATATTCTTATTTCTTAATTAGTAACAAAAAATGATTAGGGTTACAATTAAGAATTAAATAATCTCTGTAAAAAAATTCAAATAATGAAAACAAAAAATAATGATAACTATTATTAAAATAAAATAAAATTACAAAAACTTAAAATAAAATACAATACATAAAATAAACATACGCCATGATTAATAAAGTTCTTACACAACATATATAGAAAATTAAAAATCACACACATAAATTTAATTCACACACAATAAAACTCTGCATGAACCTCCATCACGCGGATGATCAAATGAGCAATGCTCGTTACAGTACTATGCAATTTTCCCCCAATAAGCTTCACTTTTTTTGTTTCTCCCGACAACACTATCTGTTCCGTATTTGATCCATCCACTAAGTAGTACCAAATTTTGATCAGTGGTCCATTTGTGGCCTTTTCGGCGGGAATGAGCTGGATCATTTATATTTGGAGTGGCTTCATCAACATTGCTTATACCACCAAGAGCCATTTGTGTAGAAAACTCGAGAAATTCAGTTGGTTCAACATTCTGAACATTTTCATTGCCCTTTGGAGTAAAAGAAATGGGGTGTTTGAGATGAATATGACATCATTGATCAATATGGATGGTTTATTTGGAACAGAAGATGGCATGAAGAAATTTGGTGGAAATGAGTTAATTTGGTATATTTTGAGGTTGATTGGAAGATTGGTTTTGAAAATGATACTTTTTGGGATTGGGTAGTTAAAAGAGATATTTGTAGAATTTTGTGTGTTGAAAGGATTATTATTAGGATCCATTTAACCCAAAAAGAAAAATTTTATATTTTTTTTTTATTTTGTCCGAATGAAGTAAGAGTAGTCTCTATTTATAGAACATGAAAAATGCTTAATTTTGATCAAATTTGTTTTTTTTAATTGTTTTAATATCAATTATTTGAGCTCAAATTATTTAGGTGAGATAAAAATCTCTAAAAATCTAAATAGCCACACGTTTTATTACAACACCATTACTTTTTTCCTATTAAATTTTGCCAGCTCACCACTCTCTTTATATGCATGTGTTTCTGACTCTCTTGGTATGCTCATTTATAACATGACATGTATCTTCAGTGAGACCAATTTTTGTTGATTCAACAAGTTGAATCTTTTCAACTTTGTTTAAGCCACATAATTTTTTTTTTCTTTTTCAACATATCCATTGTAGCCATTATTAAGCAGTTGAATAATTTTTTCAACATGTCCATTGCACATAGTCTATGAGAGGACTGATCGGATTTCTCTTATTCGCGCATTTGGGTCAATAAATTAGGTAATTACTCTTCTATGTCCTCCTCATTTTCCTTTTCTGAATTTTGTACGAATTTCTTCTCTTTGCTTGATTCTCTGTTTAATCGATTCATCATACTTACTTTGTTTCGCCGAGTCGAAAACAAAGAACTTATAATTGAACTTTTCTTTCTCTGATTTTTTTACTTCGACATCCTCTTCTCAATCCCAATCTAGGGTTATTCATCACTTTTATTACTTCATCAAATTTCCATTTTTTTGCGATGTCTATACCTCTGATAGGTATTGTGAAGCCTCGACTCAACTAACTTAGCCGAGACATCTAGTACCTCTTAAAATTTCTTTTAAAAACCTTTTCCCATTGAACCATTGGGCTCACGCGCTAATCGTAACAAACCTACAAAGCGGAAAAGAGAAAGGGGGTGAGTAATGAATTACTCAGTGAGGAGATCATCTCTGCCCACCGAAATATAATTTAACGTTTCTACCATTATATCACACTCATCAGAACACATAAACCTAGACATTAACAATCACACATCCTCATTTACTTGCTAAGACATAACAATTAACATTCATATCGTTTCAGTGCATCGCACCTAGTGGTCCTTTTCCACACTTATCGTTTC